TAAATGGAAAACGAAGACTGCGAAAGAAGATTGCCAGTAAAAAAATGTAACACATTAGGATACTCAAACTCGGGTATTGAGGTAATACCAATTAAAGGAGAAGAGTTAGCGTGTGTACCAGCTTCCTGAGTGTTTGAAGCCTTCAAAGTACTTACGGTCTGATTGAGTTTCCACATCATCTAAATGAGACACCTTCCTCTTTTCTGCAGTACCTAAAACAGACAGTTTCTCCTTTCCCACAGGATTAGATGGAGAGAGAGAAACTGTCGCTGGTAGCAGCTCTGGTACAGCAGGTGCGGCAGCCGTCTCGACCGGAATGGGGAATGGAGTGGCGGAGATGTGGCGGGCAAGGGCAAGCAGTTGGCGTTGTTCCTTGTCTGAGAGTCCTTCAAGAAAAAAAGAATGCTCTTTGATGGTGGCAAGTACACGATCCGTTTCCTCAGGTGAGAATGGAGAATCTGCATCAATAATTTTGCGAAAAAGATGGGTTCTTGCATATGAGGAATCTAGAGAGAGGAATGGGTTCTCCATTAATGGAGGTTTCGAAAAGAAAAGGTTGACGTGCGGAGTAGATGATGAAGAAGACGAAGGAGTGTAGTGTCTCGGTTAGGCTTAGAGGGGGTAAGGAATGAGACAAAGACTTAAATGTGGATTTGATGGCTTCTCAAAAGTTGTGAGGGATGGGACGGGTAGAAGACTTAGATTATTATGTAGGCTATTGAGTAGGAGTAGGATAGAGAATATGTGTTTATCTTGAATTAGTCTTCTATATATAACACACACAAAAAATAAGATGGAAATATAAAAAAAAAAAAAAAAAAATCGAACATCTGAGGATGTGAACAATGGTCGAACCACCCTGTTATCCCTGCATTAACACTCACGTAGAAAAAAAAAATTAACTGTTAAAACAAATGAAAGGAAAAAAAAAGTTTACCTGCGCGAGGAAATTAGACAGTAAGATTGCCTACGCCAGTCACCTGACCTTTGACACCGTCACCAAAGGTAACTTCACCTTTACTGGTATTTAAGTTGTTCAGGAATTTGACATTTCCTGTCATGTGACGGGAACACCCGCTGTCAAAATACCATTTCTTTTCTCTTCCTGCACTTTTAGAGTGAAACGAAACAAACGATATATAATCAGTCTTTTTAACCCAGATTTGTTTTGTGAAAGGTTGTATGTTCTTGTGCCTGAACTTCTCGATTCTTTGATCCTTGTAGAAATAGTAGCATTCAGGTCTGGTATGACCGCGTAACCTGCAATAGTGGCAAACAGGATTATATAGTTTATAATGCATCTTATTTGCGCTTACTTTACCATAGGGGCGTTTCATAGTGCTGGATTCTGGGATGTCCTCTGGATCAGGTCCAGATGCTTTGACAAATACTGTCTTATCTTTGGAGTTACTTCCAGTGAAGCGCAAACCAAATTTTGCAGAAGATTTTCTGCCGGAATCAAGAATCTTATCAAGTGTTGAAGTGGTATCCATCATTTGAATTTGTCGTTTGTAGGTGCTGAGCTCCTGTTTCAAGGTCTGTACTTCTTGCTGGAGTTTTTCTTCACGGTCGGCTGCCTCCTTCAGTAGTACATTGCCAGTTTGTATTTTGTTTTGTAGTTTTTCTTCTCGGTCAGCTGCTTCTTTAAGTAGAACATTCCTATCTGCTACTTGAGTTTGATATACTTTACTAGCCTTGGTTACAATCTCTATCTCACTAGCTAATTTGCAGTTTAATTTTCGTAGGGCTTCCCATTTGGGATACAACTTATTAAACTCAGCTTCAAAAGATAAAGTATTTTGTTCTAAGTCTTCGGCGGAGATATATTCACCACCCTCTGAGTCAGCTTCTTCAATAGATTCTGAACAGTCAGTAACACGAGCCGTAAATGCAACAAAGTTACCCGAGATTTCTTCGACATCCGATCTAGTTGTTTCAACGTTAGGCTCGTCATCACTCGAGGTAATGGCTGACATAGATTTTTTGCGTTGAAGATAGGTGGCACACTCAGCTTGTACATGTCCAAAGTCCTCGCACTCATAACACTTGATTCCTTTATTGTTGGACCTTTCTTTGGACTGTCCTGGACGTGAGACAGACTGTTTGAAGTTTGACGCCCCTGTCCTAGGCGCAGTTTTGAACGACGTTACTCCCTTTTGTGAATTTCTGTTGCGTGTGTTTTTGGATACCTGTTTCAAAATTTTGGAAAACTGTTTAGTCAAGAACGTAACTGTATCATCACTAGTTTCATCTGAATTGGATACAACATTACTTTCTTCAGCGGCAAAAGCTATATTTTTATGTTTTTTCGTTTTTGTGTTATCAGTTAAAATCTCCATTTCATATGTTTTAAGATTTCCCATTAGCTGAGTAACAGATTTATTCTCCCAGCCATCATGCTCTTGGATGGCTGTGACTTTCATTCGAAACCTGGGTGGTAGAGATCTCAGTATTTTCTTAACAAGTTTTGCCTGCGAGAATGATTCACCAAGGACCATTGCGCGATTCGCCAGTTCCTGTACACGTGTGTGAAAGTCGATGATCGTCTCATCCTCATTCATGCGCAGTCCTTCGAATTCTGACTGGACCAGTTGCAGCTTTGACTATTTTACCGATGTAGTTCATTCGTATGTAGACTCAAGAGCCTCCCAAGCACCTTTAGCCGAAGGAATACCTGCAACAATTGAAAACTGGCTTTCATGCAAAAGAGAATAAATTGTGTCTAAAGCCTTATCATTGTTTCCGGCGTTGGTTATTTCTGTTTGAGTCCACTCAGTCTTAGGCTTAGCTATTTCTGTTTCGTCAATACTGGAACTGGGTTTGGTGGGGTGTGTCCAACCTGCCACCACAGACCACCACACAGCTTCACCTTGAGCTTTTAGATGCGTACGGGTGCGAGCCTTCCAATATGCGTAGTTGTCGCCGGTCAACTGGGGAATGACTTTAGTACGATCCATTCTGTAACACTTAACACCCCGTGAGATCAAACAAATAAGCAATAAATAGATAAATAAAAATAGCCGCTGAAGAAATGAATTCAAGATGCACGGATTCGCCAGATCGATAGACTAATAGATTAAGTCTACAGGCTCTGATACCAATTGAAATTGCACCGTGACACTTGAAAAATAAAAGCAATGTGTTTTTACTCGTTAATTAAGTTATGCACCAGTTTCATTAATTAATTAGACTTGTTTAAGCAAGCATAAATAATAACTGCAGAAAGCATAAAGTAAATTAAAAACACAAAGAAATTGTTACGCAATTCGGAACTCCTTCTCCTACGTCTGCGGGGCAACCCACGTCTGCCCAATCCACTATAGATGTTCACCAAAAGGAGTATTACAAGAGGTAAATGAAGACGGCCTCCAACCTTTACCACTACCACTCTTTCTAACACCTATCCAGGACTGACACATGAATACCCGAACAATTTCCACAAGTTGCTTCAGCAGTACCACGTACTGATCATGTAGTACAGATTTATAACTCTTAAGAATTAAATAATAAATCACATTAAAAATTGAATAGCTTAGTAATCAGGATAACTCTCGCAATTTGTAATAATCAGCTTGGCAATCTTCATCTTTCGAACAGCTTCCTTTTATAGTAGTATGTATGAATTACCATGATCCTTAAAGGCAGCATCTCACACCTTCATTTATTCCAGGCCACATGTTTTTGTTAGAAGCCTTCATTTGTGCGCTGTGATAACTCTTCTTTTCATTTGACAATGCATATCATCCACTCATTTTAGCACCACATGGTCCAAATGAAAATTAATTCTAACAACTCTAATTAATCTTCTTAATTAAAAACTAATAACACCACTACTAAATAAAATAACCAATAAGGTTTAACATACAATAATTTTACACTTACAAAATTTGTAACTGATAGTCTAAATAAATACAACTTTTGATTTCTCTTTACTTAAACCAAAAGAGATATAATTTCATTAGTTATACTACTAAATATGTTTATCGTGGCAAATTTTTGTATGGACCATGAATCTTATAATACATTTTTAATATATGATGTTTTGTATTGTTTATTTACTGAAAGTAAATTATTTAATAGTATGCTCGCAATAATGTACATATTACTTTTTTGACTTTATGTACACCAACAAATTTATTTAATGGTATTAAATTTCATATCTATTTTTCATTTATGGTTAATGCGATTGCGGGTCGATTAAATCTCGATTGCGGGCCGATTAAATCTCGAAGACAGTTCGTAGAAGGATATGAGAAATATTTTTCTATCTCGCACGTGAGTTATGTATGTAGTACTTTGAAGAGTAAGTAATCTAAGGAGATTAAAAATTTTGATTGGTATGGATAATAGACAATCTATAACTACGACAAAAAATGTTGTATACACTTTTTTTTTTAATAATGTGTAATACACTTTCATTGTTAATTGTTATTAAATAATTTACTCTATATAAATTTTCTTCATTTTTTTATTATTATGTTATATTGTTTAATTATATTATTATTATTTACCTTCAAAAAAAATTATTATTATTTATGGCCATGCACCGCACGGGTACAAATACTAGAATGATAGTTTGGTGGAACAACTAACTGAAGAGCAAAAGACAATATATGATAACGTATTAGACGATGTTGAGAATGAGGTTGGGGGATATTTTTGTGTATGGATATGGTGGTACGGGTAAAACCTTCTTGTAGAGAGCATTGTCTTCCGCTTTGAGGTCAAAGGGTGAGATTGTTATAAATGTTGCATCAAGTGGCATATCTTCTCTATTATTACCAGGGGGAAGAACATCGCATTCGAGGTTTGCAATACCAATCGTTGTTAATGAAGATTCTACTTGCAATATCAGTCAAAACAGTCTGTTGGCACACTTGATCATGCAATGTAGGTTGATCATTTGGGATGAGGCCCCAATGATGCATAAATTTTGCTTTGAAGCTTTGGACCGAACTATGCGAGATCTACTGCGTGTTCAAAATCCAAGAAGTTTTTAAATGACTTTTGGTGGGAAAACCGTCGTGTTAGGTGGAGACTTCAGACAAATTTTACCAGTAATTCCAAAGGGCACTAGGAAAGATATAGTGGGTGCAAGTATAAATTCATCATATCTGTGGAGAAGCTGTAAAGTATTTAGTCTTACAAAGAATCTACGGCTTAGGGCATTGCAATCAAAGTCTGGAGTTCAAGAGATTGAAGAATATGCAAAGTGGATTGCTGATATAGGTGACGGAACTATTGGTGATTCATTGGATGGAGAGTGTGAGATCAACATTCCAGATAAATTCTTACTCAAGTCGGTGGAGGATCCTATTTCTACAATTGTTGATAGCATATTCCCGGGGTTTCGTACTGGAAATAGAGATGTCAAATATCTAAAAGACTGTGCAATTTTGGCACCAACTTTGGACGTGGTAGATAACATAAATGAATACATGAATGAATATAATACTGCCGAAGGAATGCCATATCTCAGTTGTGATTCGGTATGCAAATCGGATTCCAATGTGGACATGCTTGCTGATCTACACACACCGGAGTTTTTAAATGGATTACGATGTTCTAGAGTGCCAAATCACTCATTGACTTTAAAAGTTAGATCACCCGTTATGCTCATGAGAAATATTGATCACTCATTGGGGTTGTGCAATGGTACAAGGATGATCATTTCAAATTTGGCTACTCATGTTTTAGAAGCTCAAATATTGACCGGAACAAGTGCTGGTACAAAGGTGTTAATACCAAGGATGTCCTTAACACCGCCAGATCCAATATTGCCTTTTAAGTTTCAAAGAAAACAATTTCCGCTAATGTTGTCATATGCCATGACAATAAACAAAAGCCAGGGTCAAACATTGTCAAACGTCGATTTATTTTTGAAGAGGGCGGTTTTTAATCACGGACAACTGTATGTAGCGGTGTCAAGGGTTAGTAATACTAGCGGATTAAAAATGTTGATTTGTGACGAAAATGTACAATCCAAAAATACGACTACAAATGTCGTATATAAAGAAGTTTTCAATAATGTGTAATAAAAGTCACAGTTCATCCTATTACTTTTAATTGTAAGGCGTTACATATTATGTCTTAAATTTATAACCGTGCATCACACGGGTGCAAATACTAGTTTGATACATAATAACAAAACTATCATATTCAACAATGTACCATCATTATACAATCATGGTTGACTTTATAAAGTGAACTATTGACATAATATTTATTTTTAATATATGAATATTCATTTTTAATACATTAAATATTTATCTTTATATATTGAAAGTTCATTAATTAGTATATTACAGAAAAAAAAAACTTTCAGTTTATTAAATGAACGTTTAGTATATAAAAAATAAATATTTGTTCATGGTTCACATTTTAATTTGTCACCAATGTACCAATAATTGGTATGTTGGAAAATTTAAAATTTTGACAGCCGATGTTAGTGGACTTTGAAAAAAATTTCAACATACCATAGGTTGGAATGTTAGAAATTTTAGTAACTAACTCAAAAATAAATAAATAAATAAGTTAAATTACCAAGATGGATGAAAGAAGAACAACCTCGTGTATGGATATATGGAAAAGAACATACCTAATACGTTAGAAACTTTCAAATTGATTACTCATGATTTATTGATTTTCAAATTGTTAGGGAAAATGATGTTTTCACTTGTTTTACTTTTAGAAATTTATTCCATGTCAATTAATTTGAACAAACATAATCCTTTAATTGTTCATAATGTGCCACATTTTGTCCCTCATGTTATATAATTAAAATTATTTTAATAATTTATTTGTTATGATGCTATAATTGTCTAATCCTTTCAACCATTTAACTTTCTTCTCTTTCTTCTTAACTTTCTCAGAACATGAAAAATATTACTCCGATCCGTGAAGAAGAAGGCAAAGAAAGTTAAGAAGATGGAGAAGAAAGTTAAGAAGATGGAGAAGAAAGTTAAATGGTTGAAAGGATTAGACAACTATAACTTCATGAAAAATAAACTATTAAAAACAATTTTTTTCAAAAGGTTGAACCCCAACTCTAAGGGCCCCCCACACCCCGGCCTAAGAAGACTGCAGCTGAGTTGTCACAGTAGACTTTCAATGGCTTAGATATAAAATCCATAATTCTAAGCCCAGAGATAAAATTCTTTAACCAAACACCTTGTGAAGTAGCCTCGAAATAGGAAACGAACTCGGCTTCCATAGTAGAAGTAGCTATTAAGGACGGTTTAACACTTCTCCATGAGATAGCCCCACCGGCCATAATAAAGACGCACCCTGAAGTTGATTTTCGAGAATCAACACAGCCAGCAAAGTCCGCGTCTAAATAACCGACAAGATCTAAATTGTCCGCCTGCCTAAACCCAAGCTTGTAACCTTTGGTTCCTTTGAGATACCTTAGAACCTTCTTTACAACTCTCCAATGGTCTAACCTCGGATTGTGCTGGTAACTCAACTGAACATGAACCACAGAGGCTAAACCTTTGCTCACTGCGCACAAGTAGGAAACAATATATTCTGCTAGGAATTGTATTACACTATTGTCAATATTACGCAAACCTTAATAGTATAGGACTGTTTTGGGCGGGAAATTAAAATAGAGGATTTTGTTTTTATTAATAGTATAGATATATAATAAAAAAGTTTATACGTGCATCGCATGGGTAATTGGGCAATTATTTGCTTGAATTCAAACAAGGATAACATCAAAAAACATAATTGATCCAACCCATTTCATCAATTGCACAATATAATATTTATTTTTATAATTTATATAATTGTATATCGTTTCAAATATTCTTAAAATATTATAACAAATCAATTTCGTGCAATGCACGTGTGAAAATACTAGAATTTTAAGAATATTTTAATTGATATATAATTATATAAATTATAACATCAAATATTATATTGTGCAATCTATTTAATATTAAAAATACAGCAATATTAAAATTTCTATTCATATTTTTCCGTCACTACTAAATATTGAATAAATGATATTTAGTTTACCCCAATCTATTTATTCGACTTTGTTAATTGCTTTTTATTATTTATAAATAATCTAATTTGTTGTTTTTTTTTTGTTATTTTTTTTTCCTTTTAAGAGTTGATGTTATCGGATTCAGATAAAAAACAGTTTGCTCTGGTGGAGTTGGAGAAATTGCTATCTTTGTGGGGGAAGAGCCTGAAGGACTTTTCAAAAATGTCAATTCCAGACAAAACTAGCATGGATTTGAGTCAAGCATCATTAACCGAATCAGACACATAAAATGGGACGGAGGTAGTATTATTTAATAGCAGTTTCATTAGTTTTGATTGATATTGTCTGTTATGTATAATATACTATGTTTTTTTTTAAGAGTTAATTCCACCAGATGTCTCTTGTCTTTGGTGTCAATTCCAAATTTAGTCCTAGACTATCATTTTTTCAATTTAAGATCCCTAACTATTATTTTTTTGGACACTTTTAGTCCTTCTCATGATTTTTTCTATTTTTAGTAAGGGCATTTTTGTCTTTTCATATTTTTCTTTTGTTATTTTTATGGTTTCAACCAGTTTAATTGGTTTAGGACTTTACTAAAAATCGGTTGAAAAATATGGTTACTAAGATTTAGAGGTTACCTAAAATTCTAAACCAATTAAGTCGGTTGAAATCGGAAAATAACAAAAGTAAAATATGAAAAGATAAAATTGCCCTTACTAAAAATAGGAAAAAGTCATGAGAAAGGACTAAAAATGTATAAAAAATAATAGTCTATAATGTTAAATGGAAAAAACGATTGTGTGGAACTAAATTTGAAATTGTCATCAAAGACAAATGACCACTGATAGAATTAAGTCAATTAACTTTTGTTTTTTGACAATCAATTTTGTTTTTATTTTTAGAGAAAATTACACTTTTTGTCCTATGACTATAGGGGAGGTGGTAATTTCAGTTCGTGACTTTTAAAACTTACAAATTTAGTCTTTTTAGTATGTTTTTTTTTTTTTACACATTAAGTCCTTCCGGCTAATTTGCCGGTAGATTTTCGCTGGAATTTCAATTTCATTTCTTTATTAATTTTTTGGGAGGGTAAAATCGTCACAAATCGTCTGAGTACCGATAGTATCTTCGTTGCCTCCTCCGAGTACCGCAGCAGATGATGAAGGTACCTCCCAATTTCTCTCATTGTCTAAGTAAACACTACATGTTCTGCGTATTTGTTCTAAATCGTTCTACTCTTCTTCTATGCTTTTGTAGTTCAACATCGCAAATCCGACCACTGGGTGCCAGAAGAAGCTTGAGATCGACGATGATCAGAAACTGTGCGTTTCACTTTTCTCATTCTTCAGTTTCGCCATTAATGTGTTGTGTTGAACTTCTGTTTTGATCTATTTTGTCCTTTTGAATTCTCTTGTTAGTTTTAGTTGATTCATGTCCAAACAAACTACCGATCGGTTTTCTGTCTCGAAATTGCCAGCTCAAATGTGTTACAAGATGCTATATAATCTATTCGATGACGACTTAGAAAAGGGAAGCCGTTTTCCCCCTTTTTCTCAGACCCTATGTGACGATTTTACCCCCAACAAATTAATAAACAAATGAAATTGAAATTTTCGGCGAAAATTTACAGGCAAATTAGTCGAAAGAACTTAATGTGTAAAAAAAAAGCATACTAAAAGGACTAAATTTGTATGTTTTAAAAGTCACAAACTGAAATTACAACCTCCCCTATAGTCATAGGACCAAAAGTGTAATTTTCTCTTATTTTTATTTTTACAATGTATTAATTTATATATGATTTATAAAAATATATTATATATTATAAAATTTGTTGTAAGAAAGTGATCACCTATTTAGAAGGGCACATTTATGTGCCATAGTAGTTGGCAAATTTGATTTGATATTATTAATTCTTATTTTTTATTTTATTTATTATTAAAATACAAAAAATAAATTAATCAAAATACAAATATACAAATAATAATAATAATAATAATAATAATAATAATAATAATAATAATAAAACCTCTTCCCCAAGGAAGTTCCAGTACCATAAACCATTCGGTCACTGTATATTGTCGATCTCTCGGTGTCTTCACGCAGTGGAACCCTTAATTGTAAAAATGGGCAGAAAGTTCTTCGTCGGTGGTAACTGGAAATGCGTATGTTCGTATGCTTATTTCATACTCTTTCTGTTGTTCTTGATTCCTGCAGTGCTCGCTCTTCTTTTTGTTTGATACGCTCCTTTTTTCTTAAAATTGAAGTCTGGGTCTTTGAACTTTTGATTTTTCTGGGGGGTTGCACTTTATCCTACTAATTCCTGAAATCCAGTTGGTAAATTTATGGGTTTTAAGTCATTTTGTGGCTGTACAGAATGGAACCACTGAGGAGGTGAAGAAGATTGTGACCACATTGAATGAAGCTGAAGTTCCATCGGAAGATGATGTTGGTAAGTTACTCTAGAACTGTCATATAATTAGACGAAAAGGAAAGAAAAACGAGGTTTTTGTTTGATTGTTATTTTACATTACCTTTTCTGTTGTTCTTGATTCCTGCAGAGGTTGTGGTCAGTCCTCCTTTTGTGTTTCTTCCTTTGGTCAAAACCTTATTGCGTCCTGATTTCTCTATTGCTGCCCAGAACTGTTGGGTTCGAAAAGGAGGTGCTTTTACTGGTGAAATTAGGTAATTTAATTTATTCGTTCCATTATGATCTCTGGCTCAAGAAGGCTGGGATTCGAACTATTGACCTTGTGGTTATTTTTATTTTTGATTGTGTTTGTGGGTGTCTGAAATCTTAAGTGATATGGCTAATCAGTTATGCTGAAGAGCAGTTGCCATAAAAGCTATGGTTAGTTATGTCTATTGATGAAATTACCTTTATCTTGCTTGTGTAGTGTTGAGATGCTGATAAATTTGGGCATTCCATGGGTCATCCTTGGCCATTCGGAGAGAAGACAACTACTGAATGAATCAAATGATGTAAGACATCTTTGTGGGGGGTGATGATAACATATTACTGTTTTATCCTCTTTTTTATTTTTATTTTTTTACCCGACGTATTTTCTATAGTTTGTAGCAGATAAAGTTGCATATGCACTTTCCCAAGGCATAAAAGTCATTGCTTGTGTTGGAGAGACTCTTGAGCAGAGAGAATCAGGGGCTACAATGGAAGTAGTTGCCGCCCAAACAAAAGCAATTGCAGGTACATTTCTGCTTCAAATAACAGGTCCTCGCTCTCGAACATCACCAGCATTTCAGCTTGTGTTGGATAAAAAAAAATCCAAGTATCCGGGCCATGATGCTTCTAATGAATGATATCCAATTTTAATATAGAATTAATTTCACTTTTGGTCCCACGACTTTTGAAGTTCTATCACTTTTGGTGCACAACTTTAACATTTTTTAATTTTGGTGCCTAACTTTGTTATTTTTATCAATTTTGGTCCTTTCGGCCAAATTGACAGCGAAATGTTGTTGGATTTTATATTTTTAGGGTAAAATCGTCATCCCAAGGAAACATCTTCAATATCTAAACAAAATCACCGTAAAATCATATCTATAGGTGTTTGATGATGAGAATAATGGGGAAGATGGTCAGAAACCAGACAGATCTATGGAATTTATAGTTTCGACCATTTGCAAACTCTTCTTTTCCTCTTAATATGATTTTTCTTTTGTTTAAATATTGAAGATCTTTCCATGGGATGACGATTTTGCCCCTAAAATATAAAATCTGGAAATATTTTACCGTCAATTTGGCTAGAAGGACCTAAACTGATAAAAATAACAAAGTTAGGCACCAAAATTGAAAAAATTTAAAGTTGTGCACCAAAAGTGATAAGAACTCAAAAGTCGTGGGACCAAAAGTGAAATAAATTCTTTAATATATTACCACCATGAATTGAATACTAAAGCATGAAACTTTGGAAGTGACATTATATTTGAATTTCAAAGTATCTATCCGTTTTAAGCATCAGTAGCAACTCTTACCCCAACTAAAATTGGACTTCACTAAAGTTTCACTTGGCAAGTTGAAGTTGTGGCTTTTATGCACATCTGTAGTTAGATATTCTATCACCTTTTAACAAGGGTGGATCCAGAGGGGGGGCAATGATGGGGGCAGTTGACCCCCTCACCCGTCCCCACCCCCTTATATATATGTATAGCAGTAACTTATATATAACAATAAAATGTATATACAAATTACTAGATGTTAGGTGGCTTAGTTGGTTGTTCCTTAAAATTTGATACCATGTGTCATGGGATCATGCCTCACGGGTAACACTTTCTTTTATTTTAGCCTTTTCTTTGATATTTTGTCATAGACATTTTTTTTACACTTCACAAGGGGAGGAGAATATATTTGTGATTCATATCAAATTTAATATTTTGTTAGACATTTTTGAATTGATTTGAACTTCGCCCCCACTAAGAAAAATTCCTAGATCCGCCCCTGCCTATTAATTTATTTAAGTTGCAATACTCTTATGTTCTGAGCCTTGTTTCACTGTTGCTTTTCAGAGAAGGTCTCAAATTGGTCCAGCATTGTTTTGGCTTATGAGCCTGTTTGGGCCATTGGTACTGGAAAGGTCGCCACTCCTGCTCAGGCTCAAGAAGTAAGTTTATTAACCCTCTAGATACTTACGTATCAACTTCAAGAATACATTAAGTTTCATACCATGGAAGAAATATGTGCTGTCATTTTGTCACTAGTGTTAGTTATTGCCAATTGAAAGTGGGAACTCTTTTTTTATTCATATCTTTTTAAGTGAGCTGTTAATTGTCAATCCGATTGACCGCAAAAGGTCCATTCTTTTACCAGGTTCATTCTGAACTGAGAAAATGGCTTCATGACAATGTTGGCCCAGAAGTTGCTGCTTCTACTAGGATCATCTATGGAGGTATAGTCAGCAAATTTTATGTATTCTAGGATACCTTGTCTTACATGATCATGAATTTCGTTCTACCTATAAGATTTACATTAATCAGATTGCTGCAACCCCAATAATGTTTTGAATGTGAACATCATTACGAACAATAGAAAAATTCACAGGCCAGGCCTTGCTTCGAAAGGACTATGAAAATAACAATCTGTCTTTTTGGATTTGTATTCGTTTGTGTTAAAATGAACTTACAGGTTCTGTCAATGGAGCAAACTGCAAAGAGTTGGCAACAAAGCCTGACGTGGATGGGTTTTTGGTTGGTGGTGCCTCTCTAAAGGTTTGCTACAAACTTCACGATTACGATTATTATTGTTATTGCTATCTGATTGTAGGCCTTATTTCGTTGCTGATATTGCTTTGATTTTTGTCCCAAATTAGCCCGAGTTCATTGAGATTATCAAGTCTGCAACTGTGAAACAGAGCACTTGAAGATGATTGCAGGTATATGGATACACGCAAGTGATGCTTTTACCGTTGTTTTTGCTACAGGAATGTGTTTCTGGTTTGTGTTTGACCCAGGGTTTCTTGTCTTGTAAAATAAACGAGAGATATTTACTAAGCTCGTTCTTTTGATCTAATGAAAAAACTATTATTAACTTCATCTATTTGTTGAGCTGGGAGATTTGAATCAGTGATTTGGGAATTATAGCAGTTTGAGTCAACTTGCATTGGCCTATAGACATCTTGTTTGATGGTGATAATTCCAGCTCTTTATCCATTGGATCAAGTGGCCAAGTGCGATGGGATTATGGCAATTGTGGAGAGTGAAATTTTATACCTTCATATGGCATATCTCCCACCACTCCATGCCGCACGCATACAATAGCTTCCAACTTCCAACCTTGTAGTTGTATGCTCATTAATTGTTTCAAACTACTAAGTTGTTTATAAGGTTGCAGAAGGCACTAGTTGGGTGGTCATGCCCCTTGTAACAGAAGGCACTAGTTGGGTGGTCAGGGGCGCCTAAGTGGTGCCTAGGTGACTAAGTAAAATAGCAATAATAAGGTGAAGTTGTCTTAAACCCTATTAAAATAAAATAAAATTAAATTTTAAAAAAAAGAGAGAGAGAGAACACTCGGCTGAGTTGGGTGTCGACTTGATTGAGTTGATTGAGTTGGGTGCCTAGTTGGCTAACTGACTAAAAGTCGTCTAGGAATGGAATCTCCTTGGCTTAGGGGCGCCTAGCTCATAGGTTAGCTTTTACAACACTGGTTGTTTATCGACTTTAACAATTGATTATAGGTTATATTATAAGAATAGAAAATGGTTAGTATTTTATGGGGCTCTTAGACTACATGATTTTAATTCAATTTGGAATTGTTAACTTTGTTGATATTACATTGACATTATTAATATTGCAAGTACAACCTAGATAATGGAAACACTCTCACCTCTTCTTTGGAAGTTTAGGCGCGATTTACCTTCTCCGTCTTCTCCTTTTTCATGCAAGTCTCGATGGCTCCCCCGCCAAGAACAGACTCCTCGCCAAAGGGTGGACCCCCCGCTCTTTCAAGAAGTTTCGAACTACCAAACGATCTTCTGTAGATACGATCTCGACAGCTCCAAGTTTTGGGGATGACGCCATGGAAATGCTGGTGAAGTAGATTGGTTTGGATGATATTTTGGTGCTCTCAGATGACGAGGAAGAGATGTCTAGTGATTCCTCGGGGATACTAGTCGTCAAAATTCCTAAGGATTTGCGAAAAGAATTGGTGAAGCCGTGGAAGAACACTCTGACGCTAAAATTCCTGGGAAAGCGCATCAGTTTCAACGTTCTCTTCCACCGGCTCTCCAGAATGTGGAATCTCTAGGGTAAGCTTGAACTCGTTGATCTGGGTTTTAATTGGTATGTGGCTAGATTTGAACTAGCCAAGGACTGCATGCATGCTCTTATCGGTGGCCCTTGGAAGGTTTTCGACCATTACGTCATGCCTCAACGCTGGTCTCCTTACTTTGATCCAGCTAAAGCCGCTATTCAGAAAATGGTTATTTGGGTGAGGCTTACGGGACTACCTGTTGAGTACTTCCGGGAAGATATCATAAAACTCATACTTGATCACGTTGGCTTCCCCTTGAAAATGGATTGGACGACAGTAGGAGTTGAGAGGGGACGGTTCGCACGGGCTGTAGTGGAGGTCGATCTCACTAAACCTCTGGTTTCCATATTGAAAATCCGAAAGAGGATCCAACATATTGAGTTTGAAGGTCTCCATACCATTTGCTTTAGGTGTGGAGAAGTGGGTCATAGTTCAAATGAATGTCCTAAGCACCAACCTGTGATGCTAGAGCAAAATCGTGAATGGGAACCAGCAGGAGTGTCGCAGGACCAAGGGGATAACGTTGCAACGACGGGTCGTGGCGACGAGGATAATCGTTTAGGGCCCTGGATGCTGGTGTTGGGAAACATTTACAAGGCAAAGGCTTTTGGGTGACTTTTGTCCTTATCTATGTGTCCCATATTGGCAAGCTAACCCACCTTTTACTCCCTTTTATTCATCAACTCCTTTGAGAAGGTTTGAAGTGTTATGGAGGGAAATATGGGGAAACCACGCGCGCTCCGCCGCCGCCCGCCCCAGCCCAGTTCGGTTCGCACGCGTGTCGTGGTCAACGTTTTGCGCTCCACTACACATTTTTACCCCTATTTTTGTGGGTTTTAGATCACCTTGTCCGCACTTCATTATGATCATAGGAACGTGCGCGCACTTGGCATTGCTCTTTCCCACTCCCCATATTTTTCGCTATTTCTTCATGGCTGAGATGGAATTGGTGGTTTTAGCTCTCAGTATATAAACCGTTAGTCCCCAACCCTGGAAAACACTCTTTGAAATCACGGTGAATAGAGGTTGCCTGAGTTCTATTTTCTATGCTAACCTGTCGAAAGCTTGCGAAACCCCTGTTCGTAAAATGCTTTTAAGGTAGTGTTTAGACACGAAACAGAAACCTTTCTACTCTCAAATCACACAGGCAAAACAGAATACATCATGCACGACATTGTTGTTCTACTGTGAATTATCCAACAATTAAAAGCATTTTAAAGTTCAAATTTAACAATGTCTCAGGGATCAGCTCCGGGGTCGGATGTCGCTCCGATTCAACCACTGACTGGCGGGCTTAATTACAGAAGGTGGTTTGCGAATGTGGTCATGCTACTGGAGTCGAAAGATGTCGACTATGTTATAGTCGAGGACCCTGACAAATATGCTTTGGCCGATTCTCAGTCACCTGTTTCATCTTCACAAAAGGACTCTCCAGCAACGCCTTCGGTGGACTCTACGGATCCAAAGTCGACATCAGCATCCAAGGATCCCAAGTCGACATCGACACAACCTTCCTCAGTGTCCCAGTGTGCAAAGTATGAGAAAGATAACAAGACTGCTCGCACTGCCATCATCCAATGCGTTTCAGATCCTTTGTTTGACATGTTTTCCTCTTACAAGTTAGCAAAGGTAATCTGGGACTTACTCAAGGAAAAATATGGTGCAGACGATGCAGGAAGAAGGAAATATGCGGTTGGGAGGTGGCTGCACTTCATGATGACCGACTCCAAACCAATTGTAGAACACGTACACGAGTTCGAAAACCTTGTTGTAGACATGAAGGCAGAAGGTGCTGAAGTTAACGAGGTTGTACTATGTGATTCACTGGTTGATAAACTGCTCGATTCATGGGTGGACTTCAAGAACAAGATGAAGCACGATCGACGCACCTACACCTTTCAACAGTTGATCAACAACCTTAACATTGAGGAAGAAAACCGTCTAGTTCACAGGTCTGTTGTTCCTACTAGTTCTATTAAAGCAAATGTTGTTGAGGCTAATGAGGCTTTAATAAGCTAAAGTCAAGTAGAAATAATAAAAACCAAAGTAAGAATTATTAAAAAAAAAACAACAACAACCATGTCAAAGGTGGGCAAATTCAGAAAAGGGGAAATAATTCCGGTGAGTGTTATATTTGTGGCAAACGTGGCCACCGTGCTACCCAATGCTACCACCGCAAAGGGAACACAAACCAGAATGGTCAAAAGATAGATTCTGAAGGTCCAAAAGGCCAATCACACATAGTGGAAGACATGGAGAACTCTGACATTGTGGCAGCGGTGATAACCGAGGCAAATACAGTTGAAGATCCAGACGAGTGGGTTGTGGACACAGGTGCCTCCCGTCACTTCTGCAACAACAAGTATCTGTTCAAAGATTTTGAGCCAATCACTGGAGAAGAACAAGTGTTCATGGGAAACTCCAGCGTATCCCAGGTAAGTGGTAGGGGAAAAGTACAAATAATGTTTGGGTCTGGGAAATAGATAATTTTACAAAATGTGCTCTTTGTTTCCTCCCTTCGTAGAAACCTGATTTCTGCAAGCCTGCTTAATAACACCGGAATTAAAATGGTTCTTGAGTCTAACCGAATGGTCATGACTCGACGTGGGATGTTTTTGGGAAAGGGATATCTGCATGGAGGGCATTTTGTGTTAGATGTCAAAGTAGTTAAAAAGCATTCTGATGTAGTTCGTACTGAAAACCACACCCCAACTTGGCATGTTCAAACCAATAATAACAATGCTTCTTCTTCTGCTTACATTACTGTTTCTTTAGATATCTGGCATGGTAGATTAGGACATATTGGCATAAAATGTTTAAATAGATTGAAAAGCATGAATTTGTTGCCAAATCTGTCTAATGATGCATGCACACAATATGAAATCTGCGCTGAAGCAAAATTTGCTAGAAAATCCTTTTCAATTGTGAATGCTCATACTATATCTGTATTAGAACTGATTCACACCGATTTAGCTGATTTTAAAACTACTGAAAGTAGAGGTGGAAAACACTACTATATTACATTCATTGACGATTTCTCCCGGTTTTCTAAAGTATACTTACTAAGAGAGTCCCGCACAAAGGGTTTGAAAAATAGAGTCCACATCTTAAGGGGGGGGGGGGAGCTGTTTTGTCAGCAAACCACATCTTAAATAGAGTCCCGCACAAAGGGTTTGAAAAAACCCCCTATGAGCTATGGAAAGGGCATGCTCCAAATCTCAAGTACCTAAAGGATGGGGCTGCCTGGCTAAGGTGGGACTACCATCTTTCAAAAGGCTCAATTTGGGACCTAAAACCTTAGATGTCGTATTTGTTGGGTATGCCGAAAACAGCGCAGCATACAGATTTATGTGTTTGGAAAACCGTGCAATGTGTTAATCTAGAGATGTTATATTCTTTGAACACATTTTTTCATTAAAGAATGCTTGTGATACACCTGTTGATAAACTTCAACAAAATTCACATGATGTTTTTTCCAGTTTTTCAATCAACTCTGAAGAGCCCCGAAGGAGCAAAATGCCTAGAGTTGAAAAGAATTTTGGTTCTGATTTTTTAACATATGTAACTGAGTTGAAAGATTTAAATGAACTTTGTGATCAGCTCATATGTCAACTAGTCCTATAAGAGGAACAAAAAAGCTTCGAAGAAGCCATGCACTCGGTAGATTCCATTTTGTGGAAAGAAGCAGTCAAAAGTGAGTTAGACTCAATATAGTCTAACCACACTTGGAATTGGTCAACAGACCGAAAGGTTGCAAACCAATCGGCTGTAAATGGATCTTCAAAAGGAAATTGAGGCCAGATGAGTCAATTGAAAGATTCAAGGCCAGACTAGTAGCTAAATGCTACACACAAAAAATTCGGTGAGGACTATTTTTATACCTATTCACCGGTAACAAAAATTGCAACCATTTGTGTTTTGTTTACACTGGCTTCTTCACACAGGTTTATAGTTCACCAATGGATGTAAAGACAACAGTTTTAAATGGTGAACTAGAAGAAGAAATCTACATGGAGCAACCTCCCGGATGCGTTGATCCAGGGCAGGAAGGGAAAGTATGCAGACTCAAGAGGTCTCTATATGGCCTGAAACAAACCCCTAAACAATGGTATGAAAAATTTCATAAAACTTTGTTAGATCTGGGTTATTCTACTAATTGATCAGATGCATGCTTGTACACAAAAGAGATAGAGTCTAGCATTGTGATCATATGTCTCTATGTAGATGACATGTTGATTTTTAGCTCAAACCTTGAGGCTATAAATAAGATTAAAAAGACTCTATGTGATAAGTTTGAAATGAATGACCTAGGGGAAGCCGATTTAATACTGGGAATAAAAGTGACAAAGACTGGTTGTGGCTATCTGTTGTCACAAAGCCACTATACAGAGAAACTTCTAAAGAAGTTTGACAGTTATGAGGTGGCTCCGGCTAAAACCCCCTTTGATCCAAGTATCAAATTGTCAAAAAACGTAGAAGCTAGTGTGTCTCAAGAAGAGTATGCAAAGATAATTGGAAGTCTAATGTGTTTGATGAATTACACTAGACCTGATATTGCGTTTGCAGTGAATAAGCTCAGTCGCTATACTCACAACCCTAGCTCCCTGCATTGCGATGCGTGAAGAAGAGTATTGCGATACCTTAGAGGCACCGTGGACTAGGGCCTTAATTACAAAGGACACCCAGCAGTGCTAGAAGGGTTTTGTGATACGAACTGGGTAAATGACAGTCAAGATGTAAGCTCGACTAGTGGATGCGTGTTCACTATGTGTGGAGCAGCTATCTCGTGGAAGTTAACAAAACAATCATGTATTGCTAGATCAACTATAGAAGCCGAGTTCATAGCGCTTGATCTGGCAAGTCAGGAAGCCGAGTGGCTGAGAAACCTACTGGCAGACGTGCCATTTTGGGGTGCCCAGCCCCGGCTGTTCCTATAAATTGTGATTCACAAACTGCCATCTGTGTAGCGCAAAATAGTGTCTATAATGGAAAAAAAGACACATAAGAGTCAGACATGAGTCTGTAAGGCAGCTAATATTAAATGGGGTGATCACAATGGAGTTTGTGAGGTCTGAAAGGAATATTGCAGATCATTTCACGAAAGGCCTAAACCGGAAGGCCGTCCTTGATACGTCAAGGGAGATGGGTCTGAAACCCAATGAGTTTAGAAATTCGTGATGGATACCACTTCGGGGGTTAAATGAAATCACGGAAAGACTTAGACTAAGGAAAGCTGTAATAACAGTACTTTCTCTGTAACCCGTCATGGGTGGTCTGTATTGAGATAAACTTGACAGAGTTGATGTCTAGACTGAGCTAGACTATACAGGGATTCTTAAAGAGTTAATAAAGGGCGTTCAAGTTCAAAACTCAATAAACCGATGAGTTCAAGATTCAATTCACTCTCGAGGAACAAGTTAGTTGATGCCTTCATGACAGTTCAAGTTCTGTACACTAACATGGAAGTTAGCTCTTATGCTGGCTCAGGTAATATTGGGTATAGCCTTTGTCCTTTTAAATGTGTGGGGGATTGTTGGGAAACATTTACAAGGCAAAGGCTTTTGGGTGACTTTTGTCCTTATCTATGTGTCCCACATTGGCAAGCTAACCCACCT